GATGTCATCCTCGTCATAATTCGTGTCTCTAGCATGTGTAGCTTTAAAAAATTTAAATTATTGAACACCCACAAAAAAAAATAACAGAAAACTGTTTCAAATGTCTCCCACATGTCAAGTTTTCAAACAGCTTTCAAAAGTTTTGAATACACACTAGTCCAGACTAGCTCTCCAATGTGGATGGTTTTCGAAGCTAAACATATGAACGAGAAAGAGATACTCCCCCCATTTCTTTCTAATTTGCATAAAAACTTTTCTGAAGTCAAACTTTGTAAAGTTTGACCAATTTTATGAAAAAAAAATATAAGCATTCACAATACAAAGTCAATATTATTAGATGCATCTTAAAATTAAATTTCACGCTCCCTCACAAAAATATATATTAAATTTCACACCATATAACTTTAGTATTATAGATGTTGATATTTTCAAATATAAATTCGCTCAAACTTTGTGTAGTTTGACTTCAAACAAATCTAATATGCAATGTAAAAAAGAAACGGAGGGAATCACTCTTAGGACCCCCTCTATTATTATTTTTTGAGAACAACCTCTGTTTTAAAACTGTTGAAGTTATAGATTACGCTAAATCGAAGTTGTTTAAATGTTTATAAAATATGTAAAGCTTGACTTGAGAGAAACTAGAACTTTAAACATCTTACAATGGTGTGTGCGGGGTGAGGTGTGGGTAGGGGTTAATAAAGAAAATTGCAACTAAGAGAAACTCTACAAGAGTCGTTATATATTGCATATGGAGCGCAAAGTCGCCATATCTCAGCCTTCATAATATATTTTCTGTTTTCTCATGCAGAAACTTTGATTGACTCCAAAACTAGACGTTTTATCACTTCATTTCAAAAGCAATCATGCAAGAAATAATTTAACAAGTTGCTTGAACAAATGCATTTAACCGGCGACACGTGCAAATCACATGTTGCTGGCATGTGCACCGTCCCCTTCTCCAGATGTGCACTGCTCTCTCGTGTGTGTTGTCCCCTCTCCAGCGTGCACCTTCCCTTGCCCCGGCAGGCCCTAGAATGTATGATCACCATTCGTCTGTCATCTCAAATTCTTGCGCCATTGGATCCATGGTATTCGAATCCAACATGGTGAATCGTTTATCTTCAGCTATCCCTTCATGTCTCGTCTAACACCCCTCGGTTTCGAGCCTACATGAACCCATCTCTTCATGACATCGTCTGCTCTCTTGCATAGTGATGGTGTCCCAGCCCAGGGGTATTTCACCATGTCGGTTCCTGATCTGGTGGGTCGGGCTAAGGACCCCTAGGTCGGTTCCGTCCTGGGCCATTTTGGGCAACCCATGACGCGCTACAAAGAAGATTATGGAAGCCTTGACGTTCAAGACAAGTAATCCATATCCGTGGAGTACCCGCCTCCACCGACATAGCCGATTAGGGCATCTACAACGCCGGGTGCTAGGCCCGGACGCTAGGATAAATATCCTGTCCGATCGGCAGTTAGACTACAAAATCCTAGCGTCTAACCTGGCAGCGACGCAAAAGCTGGAGGCGAGCGCTTTGCCTTTTTTTCCCACAGCCATGCATGTGGCGATTGGTTTTTCTACTAGTTCTGTGATTAATTAGCGCCCCTCATTAGCGCTTGCCGTTGGGTCGGAAAACGCTAAGCTTCTTCCTATTTTATGAGAATTATCTTTTCATTCATAAGCGTCTACGTAGTCGCCCAGCAATGGAGATGCCTTTAGAACTCTTGTAATCCTAGGACCCCGGTGATGGTGTCACGGATTAGGGGGCACTCACCATGGCACCTCCCATCTAGATGTCGACATGGCTTCAGAATGCCTGTGACACATTTGGTCTCGACATCTCTGTATGAGCAGGCTAGTTACTGATTTGGAAGATTAATGCATGGGTAGGACTCTTGTAAAGTTGTAATCCTAGGATGTCATGAATTAGGGGGCATTCACCACGGCGCCTCCCATCTACTCCTTACATCTATTTCTGCGACAAGTAATTCCGAATGGAGGGAGTAGATGTCGACATGGCTTCAGAATGCGTGTGACACAGCTGGTCTCAACATCTCTGTATGAGCAGGCTAGTTACCGATACGGTAGATTAGTGCATGGCTAGCATTAGACAGCCGTGGGCCTGCCTCGCGCACTGGCAAAGACGAAGGCCTCCCCTAAAATAAAGTGTGTCGCTCAAAAACGGAAATTTATTTACAAAAATTCCGTCGCCGGGACTTGAACCCGGGTCTCTCGGGTGAGAGCCGAGTATCCTAACCACCTAGACTACGACGGATTTTGCTATTGCTTGAACTTTAGCTTTAAAGAACCGTAACATTAGGCCTGCCGAGCAAACCTAAGTATACTTCGGGTCCAGCAAATGACGATTTTGTGTGCCTGAGCAGAAATCTGAACTGAAATATGATGGTTCATCAGCTGAATCAGGTTCACGAGCATATCAAGTGATTGAAAATGCATGTCAAAGAGTCGAGACAAAGTACACGCACTTCGCCACAGATGATACCAAGCATGCAAGGAAAAAGAGATACTGAACCTATTTTGCCAGCAAAACTGGAGTACATTCGGGTCCCAAGAGTGACTAAATAATAGACGTGCGCTAAAATTGAGGAAAATATATTTGCCAAGAAAACTGAAATGTATTAGGGTCCAACAAATAAGGAATTCAACAACAACAACAAAAACAACAAAGTCTATAGTCCCAAACAAGTTGGGTACACTAGAGGTGAAACCCATAATATATCACGATCAACTCAAGGTTCTGGCACATGGATAACAAGCTTCCACACGCCCCAGTCCATGGCTAGTTCTTTGGTGATACTCTAATCCTTCAGATCCGTCCAACAAATAAGGAATTCATGTCCCTTTAATTGAAACATCAAACTTGTTGTCGATAAGATTATCAAGCAAGGCGTGATCATATCAAGTTGCAACAATGGATGTCAACGGGTTGAGAGTTGAGAATGTTGCCAACAACTACAGCACACTCTCCTTCAGATGAATGCGAGGAAAATTATATATCAACCAAATATTCATTAGCTTGTCCAAAAGAGACGAGCAACAGCATGCCAATTACATATGAAGCATTAGAAAGAAGTTCAATTCATAATTTGAATAGTATTGAACTGGTTCCAGAGCGACCAGACATAGCAATCACTTTGCTGTGGAACAGATGGGTGCCATAGTGCTCAAAGAGAGTGAATAACACCCAGCAAGAGTTTTACAATATTATTGTGCCAAAAGAAAATGCCAAAACATGGAGCTTTATAAGGTGCCTAATTTCACTTAAAAGATCATGGGAAATCTGGGCTTCAATGTCTTCACTCCTCAACCGGCCTTTGCCCCAGAACTGATATGTCTTGATACCGTTTCTGCATTTCCAAAGAATGACGAATTATAAGCCATGTGGCCTCAGCATTTGAAGCATTTAGCATATGCATTAACTAAGCAACACAAAGTTGTACACAATCAAACTTCTATCTTTCCAGTGCAATGAAACGCATGTCTTCTGCGTTTTCTCGAAAAAAATACTCAATGAGTGAACAATGAGGTTGCTTAACCAAAATACAGCAACAATGAACAAGTATTCTGTAGAAGATAGACCAGCATCCTGTGCTAAGCTAAAATGTGTAGGCACTCGTTTCTGTGGCATTGTAGAAGTATATACAAGAGATTGTGTGTGCATATGAACTATTGAAAGTACACAGAATCAGAAGATGCAGTTCACAGTCAGAAATATAGGCTAATGGGGGGTTTAAGAGAGAACTGCAGAAGGTTTGCTAATTGGTATGATATGATGTTGTGTTAGGTTACTAGTTACTAAAAAAACTACTTATATTCTACTACTACTAAATGAATGTGAAACAAGCATACAAGAGCATGCAAGGACATAAAAGAAAGATTAATTAGCATATATGGTAATCGAAAAACAGTGTGCAAAGCATGTTGTGCCTACACATGGTGAATATGCATCAATATAGTTGTACTTCAGTGATTGTAAGGGCTATGAATACATTTGTGAGCCAAACTCGTCTATTATGTATCCTCAGTCAATATGCTATCCGATATGTATATCTGCATCGAATATGCATTCCTCTCACTCAAATTGTTAATCATATGTGACAAGAATATACTCCCTCCGGTCCTTTTTACTCTGCATATTAGGTTTGTCTGAAGTCAATCTCATCCATCTTTGACCAAGTTTATACAAAAAATTATTAACATTCACATAACAACACATTTGTTATTAGATCCATCTCGGAATATATTTTCATATTATATTTATTAGATGTTATAGATGTTAATACTTTCTAATATATATTTGGTCAAACTTAGCAAACTTTGACTTCAGACAAAGCTAATGTGCGGAGTAAAAAGGACCGGAGGGAGTATATGATCTGTGGTCCAGGACACTATTAAAAGCCCTACAATAAAGTATGATCATCACACACAATACAAGATAACATAGTTTGCTGAATTTAGCTATCACCAAGGCATTCCACATTGTCAAGAAATTATTGGAGACTTTACACGCAAAATATCATAAATAAGCATCCACATGCAGAGAAATCATGCATTTAACGAGCATGAAATGCTGTGCCTACTCAACCTATACTCATTTTTGCTCAGTGTTACAAGATCACAAAGAACATAAGAAAACCCTGACATTGGAATGAACAATTGGCAGAGCATACCACCTTCAATGCGATTTTCAGAAGAAATTAGAAACCTAATTGAATTTTCTAAACCGCTAGGTTGATCCGGCAAAGATCAAACACAAACTAGATATCCTTGCAGGTGAAACTCGCACTTCAAATAAAGTAAATCAACATAAGTATGAAATGCCCTCATTTCGCAGGAGAAACAATAACCACACAGCATTATTCCTATTTGATCTTGAAAGACAACAAAATTACGAGAAACATGTCTCTGATCATAAGAATGTGGACTTTGTCCCGTCCTACCTGGATCAGAGATGCAAGATCTAGTATCCCACGGATCACGAAAGGTCAAACGAACAAACGATGGGAAGGCCCCGGAGAGAGAATATTACCCCGACGTTGTTCATCTCCCAGACCTTGTTGACGCCGTAGTCCACCAGCTGCAGCCAAATCAAACGCAAGAGATTAGGAGGCCGAATCGGACACCGCAGGAGGACGCGCAGATCTGAAAATGGGGATCGGGATGGGAGGGGTTACCCGCTCGCCAGCGAAGGCGCCGGCGACGACGAAGGTGACGTACACGCCGTTACGGCGCATCACCACGCGGTACATGGCATCCCAGAGACCCATCGTCGAGGGCGGAGGCGGAGGCGGCGGCGCGCGGGGGGGATGGTGGAGATTCGGTACGCGACGACGGACGAACCAGTTGCGCTTGACGAGCGTTTCTGATGGGAGCTTCTGGGTACCTCGGGCGATTTCTACGGTGTTATCTCTTAGATGGGCCGTCCTGAGCCCATCAGGGCTATTTCGTGTTTTCTGGCCCGTTAGCCGACGTGGAACACGAGCGGCCCACTACCACTGGGTGATTGGGCGCGTGAACTGGCCGAACTTCCCTAAAAAACTAATAAAAGATAACTGGGCGAACGTTCAAAGTCGACCGCATTTTGATCACCCAAACACTGATTTGCAACGCCGTCCTTTTTCCAAGACGTGGGAGTGCAATGAAAAAGACGGTGGCTTATCTCATCTCTACCTAGATGTTTTATTATTATTTTTCAGTTTTGTCATATTGATCCTTACGTGACTTGTAATTTAATCTTTATGATATGAATGAGACACATATTATCATGCAAAAAATAAATTCTGACAAAATTGATGAGAATCAACGAAATATGCATTGGTTTGCGTTACTGGTGAGGAGATGGTGGGAATCAATGAAAGATGCATCGGTTTACGTGATGAAAAATGTGCATTCCTAAGAGCAAATATAATAGGATGACGTAGGCGGGCTGTAAGTCTTTAAATATTATATTTTGAATGAGTTGGCGTAAAGAGAGGAGGAGAGAGAAGGGAAGCGGGCTACTGATTAACAGCCGGGTGCAGCACATGCTCCTAGCATGTTGTGAGAGAGGGAGGTGGACCATGTATCAAAAAGTATTACATATTTACAAACAACTATTGTACTTGTCCGCTATATGTTTGGCTATAGATGATGTGCCAAAACTATATAGCCAACATCTGACTATACTATTAACCATGCTCTAAGAGCATCTACATTCGACTTGGCAAATCCGACTCCCTATACGTTCGCGGACGCATCCGGGCACGCCCACGGGCGCATCCCGACGGACCCTCATATTTTCGTCCCAACATTCACATATCTCAAATCCGGACTATCAAATCCATGCAAATACATGCACGTCGATCATACAAGCCAATGTCACACGTAAATAGCAAATGTTGGTACGAAGCACATATAGTGTTTACATAAAATTTATTTTAAGTGCCAAACTCAAGCATTGACTTTTTAGTTGTCATTGTGGGTCCACATGTGCTCCACAAGATCATTGAGTAGCTGCATGTGCACCTGCTGATCTCGAAGATTCGGATGCATATGTAGAAAGTGAAGGAAATATGCCCTAGAGGCAATAATAATGTTATTATTTTATTTCCTTATATCATGATAAATGTTTATTATTCATGCTAGAATTGTATTATCCAGAAACATAATACTTGTGTGAATACATAGACAAACTAAACGTCACTAGTATGCCTCTAATTGACTAGCTCGTTAATCAAAGATGGTTGTGTTTCCTAACCATAGACATGTGTTGTCATTTGATTAACGGGATCACATCATTAGAGAATGATGTGATTGACTTGACCCATTCCATTAGTTTAGCACCCGATCGTTTAGTATGTTGCTATTGCTTTCTTCATGACTTATACATGTTCCTATGACTATGAGATTATGCAACTCCCGTTTGCCGGAGGAACACTTTGTGTGCTACCAAACGTCACAAGTAACTGGGTGATTATAAAGGAGCTCTACAGGTGTCTCCAAAGGTAAATGTTGGGTTGGCGTATTTCGAGATTAGGATTTGTCACTCCGATTGTCGGAGAGGTGTCTCTGGGCCCTCTCGGTAATACACATCACATAAGCCTTGCAAGCATTGCAACTAATGAGTTAGTTGCGAGATGATGTATTACGAAATGAGTAAAGAGACTTGCCGGTAACGAGATTGAACTAGGTATTGAGATACCGACGATCGAATCTCGGGCAAGTAACATACCGATGACAAAGGGAACAACGTATGTTGTTATGCGGTCTAACCGATAAAGATCTTCGTAGAATATGTGGGAGCCAATATGAGCATCCAGGTTCCGCTATTGGTTATTGACCGGAGACATGTCTCGGTCACGTCTACATTGTTCTCGAACCCGTAGGGTCCGCACGCTTAAGGTTTCGATGACAGTTATATTATGAGTTTTGATGTACCAAAGTTAGTTCGGAGTCCCGGATGTGATCACGGACATAACGAGGAGTCTCGAAATGGTCGAGACATAAAGATTGATATATTGCACGGCTATATTCGGACACCGGAAGTGTTCCGGGTGATTTCGGAGAAAACCGGAGTACCGGAGGGTTACCGGAAACCCCCCGGGAGAAGTAATGGGCCATATGGGCCTTAGTGGAGAGAGAGAAGGGCAGCCAGGGTGGGCCGCGCGCCTCCTCCCCCTGGTCCGAATTGGACTAGGAGAGGGGGGGGGGGGCGGCGCCCCCCTTTCCTTCTCCCTCCCCACTTCCTTCCCCCTCCTAGTAGGAGTCCTACTCCTACTAGGAGGAGGACTCTGTTGGAAATATGCCCTAGAGGCAATAATAAAAGAATTATTATTATATTTCCTTGTTCATGATAATTGTCTTTATTCATGCTATAATTGTGTTATCCCGAAATCGTAATACATGTGTGAATAATAGACACCAACATGTCCCTAGTAAGCCTCTAGTTGACTAGCTCGTTGATCAACAGATAGTCATGGTTTCCTGACTATCGACATTGGATGTCATTGATAACGAGATCACATCATTAGGAGAATGATGTGATGGACAAGACCCAATCCTAAACATAGCACAAGATCATATAGTTCGTTTGCTAGAGTTTTCCAATGTTAAGTATCTTTTCCTTAGACCATGAGATCGTGTAACTCCCGGATACCGTAGGAGTGCTTTTGGTGTGCCAAACGTCACAAAGTAACTGGGTGACTATAAAGGTATACTACGGGTATCTCCGAAAGTGTCTGTTGGGTTGACATGGATCAAGACTGGGATTTGTCACTCCGTATGACGGAGAGGTATCACTGGGCCCACTCAGTAATGCATCATCATAATGAGCTCAAAGTGACCAAGTGTCTGGTCACGGGATCATGCATTATGGTATGAGTAAAGTGACTTGCCAGTAACAAGATTGAACGAGGTATTGGGATACCGACGATCGGATCTCGGGCAAGTAACATACCGATTGACAAAGGGAATTGTATACGGGGTTGTTTGAATCCTCGACATCGTGGTTCATCCGATGAGATCATCGAGGAGCATGTGGGAGCCAACATGGGTATCCAGATCCCGCTGTTGGTTATTGACCGGAGAGCGATCTCGGTCATGTCTGCATGTCTCCCGAACCCGTAGGGTCTACACACTTAAGGTTCGGTGACGCTAGGGTTGTAAGGATATGTATATGTAGTAACCCGAATGTTGTTCGGAGTCCCGGATGAGATCCCGGATGTCACGAGGAGTTCTGGAATGGTCCGGAGGTAAAGATTTATATATGGGAAGTCCTATTTCGGCCATCGGGACAAGTTTCGGGGTCATCGTTATTGTACCGAGACCACCGGAAGAGTCCCGGGGGTCCACCGGGTGGGGCCACCTATCCCGGGGGGGCACATGGGCTGTAGGGGGTGCGCCTTGGCCTACATGGGCCAAGGGCACCAGCCCCAAGAGGCACATGCGCCTAGGGTTTCAAGGAGGAAGAGTCCTAGGAGGGGAAGGCACCTCCTAGGTGCCTTGGGGAGGAGGGATTCCTCCCCCTTGGCCGCACCCCCTAGGAGATTAGATCTCCTAGGGCCGCCCCCCCCTTGGCCCTCCTATATATAGTGGGGAGATGGAGGACTTCTGACCCTTGCCTTTGGTGCCTCCCTCTCCCTCTCCAACTCCTCCTCCTCCTCCATAGTGCTTGGCGAAGCCCTGCCGGAGTACTGCAGCTCCATCATCACCACACCGTCGTGCTGCTACTGGAGCCATCTCCCTCAACCTCTCCTTCCCCCCTTGCTGGATCAAGAAGAAGGAGACGTGGCTGTTCCGTACGTGTGTTGAACGCGGAGGTGCCGTCCGTTCGGTGCTAGGATCTTCGGTGATTCGAATCACGTCGAGTACGACTCCCTCATCCCCGTTCTTTGAACGCTTCCGCTCGCGATCTACAAGGTACGTAGATGCATCTAATCACTCGTTGCTAGATGAACTCCTAGATGGATCTTGGTGAAACCGTAGGAAAATTTTTGTTTTCTGCAACGTTCCCCAACAGTGGCATCATGAGCTAGGTCTATGCGTAGTTCTTCTTGCGCGAGTAGAACACAATTTGTTGTGGGCGTAGATGTTGTCAACTTTCTTGCCGCTACTAGTCTTATCTTGCTTCAACAGTATTGTGGGATGAAGCACCCGGACCAACCTTACACGTACGCTTACGTGAGACCGGTTCCACCGACTAACATGCACAAGTTGCATAAAGGTGGCTGGCGGGTGTCTGTCTCTCCCACTTTAGTTGGAGCGGATTCGATGAAAAGGGTCCTTATGAAGGGTAAATAGAAGTTGACAAATCACGTTGTGGCTTTCACGTAGGTAAGAAAACGTTCTTGCTAGAACCCTACTTCAGCCACGTAAAACTTGCAACAACAATTAGAGGACGTCTAACTTGTTTTTACAGCAAGTGCTTTGTGATATGATATGGCCAAAGTTGTGATGAATGATGAATGATCTATATGTGATGTATGAGATGTTCATGCTATTGTAATAGGAATCACGACTTGCATGTCGATGAGTATGACAACCGGCAGGAGCCATAGGAGTTGTCTTTATTTTTGTATGACCTGCGTGTCATTGAGAAACGCCATGTAAATTACTTTACTTTTTTGCTAAACGCGTTAGCCATAGTAGTAGAAGTAATAGTTGGCGAGCAACTTCATGGAGACACAATGATGGAGATCATGATGATGGAGATCATGGTGTCATGCCGGTGACAAGATGATCATGGAGCCCCAAGATGGAGATCAAAGGAGCTATGTGATATTGGCCATAT